TATTCCTGATTATCTTTCTATAGCTCCAGCTCTTCCATCATATAAGTCAAACGTAATTGACAAAATTCAAGACCTTTCGATTCTATACCTATTACCAGTAATACAACTTCAGAATGCATAGAATACATAGAGCACAATATTTCTGACTCATCTAATAACGTAATTGATGAAAAAGATTTATCCTTAGAAATGTTAGCTTAATACGATACAGAACATAGAAAGAATTCTTCTCAAGATATATGTCACGTTGATATTACTACTTGCGAAGCCAATGCATATGAGGAAGAGATATCTGATTCTTTAATTTCTTTATCTTCAGAGTTTCTCATTAAAACTGAATCTGATATCGATGTTCTTATCCTTTATTTACAGCAAAAATTCCAAATATCAAAAGAAAAATTGGAACAATGGCGAGCCAAGATTGCCTTTGAAATGCAGGATAATAAAAATTATTGAAAAAAAGAGCACGAGAGTATAGACGAGATCGCTTTTCTAGAATACAAATGAAATTTTAAGGCTAAAATAAAAGTTCCTACCACTCTGTATAAAAAAGATCTGAAAAATAAATTTTTAGCCCTCATCGAATATGTGTAATTGTTATAAATGTTTTAGCAAAGCAGAAAAAGGTGCCAAGACATTATCATCTAGTTAAGTAGTAATTTCTGAAGAAGAGAGATTACTACATTTAGCTAGTTATTTATTTCAGGTAATTCAGGAAATTGATGTGGAGTTGATAGAGCCTTAAATAATCTTTCACATAATATCTACTTTTTAGGCTTTACTTCTGATTTGACTTTGTCTAATACCTTACCAAAGCTCAGCCCCTTATGATCTGGCTTATATTGTTTTTGGCGATAGCATTTAAGTATGAAATGCCCATTTTTTCAAATAAATCTATAGAGTTGATCCTTATCATATTTAACGTCACATATAGGGCATTCTTTTATCGATTGTGATTGAAAGTTAACGAACCCTTTCTCGATTCTTCCAATCTGGAGCCATCCATATTTTTCAATAACTAAATTAGCACCTTTAACTATAGCATCTTCATCATCAATAGGTTTGAATTTCTTTTCTATTAGTTTTTCTTCTGAAAAAGTCCGTAGCCAGATCACGGAATAATCGGATTTTGGTTGAACCAAATAATCTTCTAATTTTTGAAATCCATTTTTAACAGAGGCAATAGCTGGTCTTTCGATATGTCCTTCTTTTGCCGATCCCAAAAGCCAAAGATTAAAATGCATTTTGTAAAGTCCAATATCAATAAATTTGGAATAGGGTTCTCCAACTGATTCAATGACTTTTTCCACAAAACCTTTAAGGTCTCGATAATCAATAGATCGAGAATGGAGATAAATAATATGCCAGCTATATTTATTTATATTTGATGAACTTGCCAAAACAAAGTTGTTTAATGATACCATGCAACCCAATATGGAATATAATGTATCTGCACAAGCGACTAAAATTCAAGATATCAAATCTTTTCGGTTAATTTTTTCACTATCTAAAGAAGCATGTTTAGGATTATTTGGATCAGGTTTTTGTCTTGCATCAATATCAATAATTAAGTATAGGGGCTGGTTTCCATCGATATATTCGTGGGTATCAGGTATTCTATAAACTTCAGAGAGATGATCGATCACTGTATAACCTTTTCCTGCTATCCGAATTATATATTGAGAATAAATCTCTTTGGGTTGATATGCATCTAAAAGCGCAGTATCATTTCTATCAAAAGAGCTGGTATGGCCATTGGATACAAGCCAGTATTTATAAAATATATGTTCTCTATGGCCAGGTTTATAATCAAGATCTGTTAAACCTATAAAAAGCTGTTTTGCTTTATTATATTCAGCTGACTTTTGATTTAAGCACTGTTGCTATAATGATTCATGAAGACATTTTTTTGCTTCACTAGACAAACTCATTTTATTGATTTGTATATATGTTGTTTGTATATGTGCGTTGTTTGATCTGACAAAAAGTATATGTTATTGAAACTATATTAATTGGTAGATAAATCTTTAAAATAAAATTAATTATTCCAGAAATTTTAGCTGGATGCCAAAAAAATTATATATTTGATTGAAGTAATTATTATATATAATCACGATGATATTATACCATTGCTCATATATTCAAAGAACTGGAGAAATCTGTGGTCGACGTAGTAAATCAGAAAGATGTTATATTCATCGTAATTCTCTAATATCTACTCCTTGTAGAGATTGTAGTGAGCCAAATAGGTCTAAATATAATGCATGCAATAAACACATAGGGAAATATAAAAGTAAAGAGAATTATGACAGAAAAAAGCAGGATGAGTTATGTGCACAAATTACTAGGTTTAAGAATTATATATCTGACTTCCCCGATTCTATGCACGAAGTCTAATCATATACCTGGCATACGTATATATTGATTATTTTTTCCAGGATCTCTTATTTTGGAAAAATGGCACTTATATGCCTAAGTAATGTTATATCCTCTTTGATGCCTTCTATATTTTTGGTAATTTTGTTGTGTAAAGCTACAGATTCCAAGACTTTATTTTAGAAGAAATAATACTTTGTGCTTGATCGAACTTGTGTCTTGTTCGTGTCTATTTTCTGATAAGATTACTCAAACAGCAATCCATTCAATTTTGGGTATATATACTGACTCATGATAATTAATTTCGATTTGAAAAAAGAATCCCTATAGTATATATAAGATGAAAATAGTCTACATAAACCATCTCAATTAACATATGTATCAAAGACACTAGCTTTGCTATACTAACCATGGCAAAAATCGCTACATCATTTGTAAAACACTACAAATTGATTCTACAAACTAGTTTACCACAGCTTAGTAGTTATATCGAAGAGTTGGCTAGTAAACTTTCAAATGGCAAGACAAAAGAGCAGGCCTGAAAAGCCAGAGATCAGGCCAAAAGACGCTTCCAAGAATTGGGATTAAGTAAGGAGCAAGCTGATACTCTTATTCCTATTCGAGCTCCTGGGAGACATGTTGATGAAAGAGATCCCATTAAAATTATTGCCCAAGATATTATAAAAAATAATCTCTTACCTGAAAAAATAAATGGAATAGCATATGACTTGACTTCTTTTGCTCCCACTACTGTTACGGGAAATTCTCGTCTTAATTTATTACAGAAAAAATTGCGTAGCTTAGAAGCTGATTATCTCATCATTGAGGCAACGAAAATACCCTTTATTACTGAAGAAGCAAATCAGATTCAAGCAAGAAAGCGTATACTTTGTGGAATTAATAGTTATGATTGTCCTGAGTTCTTTTACCTAGAAAAAGTTCAGGAAAGACTTAGCGAATGTGATACTACCAAGCCTCCTTCAGTGCAAAATCTAATAGATGTAATAATAATGCTATATATGCGATCGGCAGATGTGAAAAATCTTCGTATCAACCGATACAAACCAAGTCACGAGTCATAATATAATCCTGACCATTCTTGGTACTGTATTGGTTATGCAAAAAATAAAGGTGAGGTAGAAGAACCTCGACCATTCCTTTCAATAGAAAAAAATCCAATACGAGCAAGAGAATTACTTATCTGGATTCAGAGATCAATATCAGATAAATTCTCCTTCTTGTTAAAAGATAAGGATAGAAATACTAATATTGTACCACTTAATCAATTCTTAAGTTGCCATAGAATTACCTCATTTATATTAAGAAAAATAGAGGCTGATCACACTTCCAGAGTACATGAAGGTAGGAATGATTCCCGCCGTCAATATTTATGACAATTGGCATGTAGGCATAAAATAGGTTATGCTTCATCAGTCAAACATTATGGTGTGATGAATGACAGACCAATTGCTTCAACAACTAGAGAAAAAAATACTAAGATATCAGATATTATAGATCTATACAATTACTAATCACGCTTCTTTGCTTCAAAAACTTGTATATGTATTTCATTCTCGTCAATGCTAGAATATCTGGAAATGCACATCGTGGATTACAAATAATTTTATTTAGTAGTGGAGAATGGGTAATTATTTACCGAGTTATTTTTTCAGTTATAATATATATCATTAAATATTATCGCAGGAAGCGCATTATTCCGGCTATAGAATAGAGCGGATAATCAGGTATTTGGTAGCCTCCAGCTAATTTCAAACAAAGAATTTTTATTTGCTGTGATATATATATATCTGTGATAATTTTCCTTGTTTTACTTTTGATTCTAGACATGGGCACTAATTGTTGCTAGCCGATTTTTTGACAAAAATCTCATGCAATTGTTGAAGAGAGACATTCGAAAATAATAGTAGTCCCTCACCAGTAAACCAAATTTTCTTTACACCACTATCAATGAATTTCTGTATTAACACACTTGGAACATCTTCTAAGGGACTATGAAATTCTTCAAACTTTCGGAGATACACTCTTGCATTTTTATTGGCTTCTTCTGCCATTTCTTGATTAGTATAACCGACAATACCAAGTTCTTCCTAAATTGTTGCTATATCATCTTCTAAGCATAAAAGCAAATCAAATAATCTAATTGGTTTATCTGAAGAGGCTTTATTCCTTCTGAGTTCTGCTTCTAAAATGGGATTGATATCTATACCAAGTTTCATCTATATAGGTATTAAATCCCTTACCAATTCTAACAGCAATTCATATGAATCTGCAAGTTCTTTCGCTTTCTTACTCTCTGACACTGCCGTTTGATTTATATTATTGTTAATACCAAGTTTTTT